ATTGATAGTGACATTCAAGTAGAAGTGTTGTATTAATCTCATTAATTGTCATGTGTAGCTTGAAGCTAATTGTAAATTCTTATATTTCATCATGTATCTTATCAAATCACATAAGTTTGTAAGAAACTGTTTCATTTTCCAAAAAGATTTTTAATTATAGTAATATAATGTACCACATGCTGATCAGAGGGATGTGGGTGGGATGTAATGCCAGAGTAAAGTAAAGCCACAACTTACACAACAGTGTTCAGATCATCTTTCTTCCTGACAAAATCAGTATAATGCAATATTTCTATCTGCTGAATGTAAGCTTTTCCATATTCCAAGCTTGCCTACTGCACTGGGGACATCACATGCATGTGCGAGTCATGAAAATAAATCTAGGAATTATTTGATTGTTGGATTTTAAGAGTGATAGCATTAAACATTCATGTGCACTCCCTGCTGCAGCTTCGTTTGATCTGAGGCTTTACATCGATCTGCCATGCCACAAAAAAGTTCCAAAATGATACTTATTGTTTGCATTTCATTATAAAATGGACAGAATTTGAAATATGAGACTTTGTTTTATATCAAAAATTACAAACCTCAAAGATTATTGCTATTTATTGGATGGTATGCGCTGTATAACGTTCTGTTCATTCATCATCTGAAAATAGCGAAGACTAAAAGATTGATTCTTGGGATTTAAAAGTGCATATCCGCTAATAAAGATTAGAATCTGTTAGAATCAAGAAATCATTATTTTTTACCCAGCCCTACACAGGTGTGATATAATATTATTTAATATGATATTTTTGGAAAGAATTATGTAACAAAAATAAGACTCTTAATATTGTTATGCTTGCCTGATATAGTTTCTACTAGGGAGGTGTGTCCAACACGTTGAAGACCCCTTAAACGGAAAAACTTTGACCATAGCTTGTTCATGCTTAAATCCTTTTTTTTCCAGATTCAAAGAAGGCCTGGAGTGTTTGCAGCTTCTGGAACATGTTGAAAAGCATCCCAATCTCTTTAGAGGAGTGCTAATGTTCGGGGAGAAGCCACTTATGGCAAGATTTAGCTGAGCTCTTTATTCCACAGCTGTCTCCAGTTGGCACCAACAAACGAACACTGGAGAACAGAATAGTCTGTTTCTGGAGGGACTGGCTCCTAGATGTGCAAGGTAACATTATACAATCGGTTATATTATACACATTACACAGTCGGTAACATTATACAATCGTTATGGTGCTCTTTCTTTCCCCTCCAATGTTTTTAAAAAGGTTGTTTTTGATGATTTTCATCAAATTTTCATGACCCCCCACAATATTTTGTTGCATGAATATCTGCACAAACAATATTTCAAAATAAACACCAGAGCTTCTGCTTTTAAACAAAAAAAAACGTTTTACTCTTCATGCATTCCGTGGTTATAGGCGTGGTTGTAATAACATACATCAAAAAGAAAAAGAAACGACCACAATATAATCTCTTTTTTTTTTCTCTTTATTCTCTGTCTTTTTTTCTCTTTATTTCTTTTATGTTTGTGATTATGCTTTGTACTAGTTCATGATATTATAAGTCCCCCTGTAATGGTCCTTTTGGTTTCTCCCATCTCAACTGAGTAGCTAATAACATCTACACCTGTGACTCACTGCATCTGCCATTAGAAGCTCTGATTGCTATAGAAACAGAGAGTGTTCTATGAGCACTTAGGACTGCACATAAGCGTTGACTGTTCCAGCCTGAAAAATGCTATTTTTTAATCATGATTTGAGCATTCATAAACAAAATTTGTTACAGTAATAAATGCCTACTGAAGTGAAGTTATGGGTTTTTGTAAGAAAAATATCCACATTTCAAATTTTGATGAAAACCTAAATAACTTTTTTTTCTTCCTTTTCTTTTTTCTTTCTTTCATTTTTCCTCAGATGGAGCTTCATCACCTCTTACTCTTAAGCCAGGTTTTGGCATTTGCTTCTGGATCAACTTCCATCCCTAGACTGGGTTTCCCTGTTAAACCGACACTAGAGTTTCTGCATTAACAGGAAAGTGAGCCAGCCAAGATATTCCCAGGAGCAAATACCTGTAGCATTGTTTTGAGGCTGCCCATGCATCATGTATTTGACGACTTTGGGGATTATATGAAGGAGGGCATTTTACAGGCACCCATATTCGGGGTAATGTAGTTTATTGCCTCACCCCATTACATATTGTTATTTCCTCTTCTTTCTTGTTTTCTTCGTCATTTGTTGTGAAAAAGGACTAAACAGATGTACATGTATTTGTCATAATAGTGATGAATAAAATTCTTTATTCATAGCACCAGCTGTGTTTGTGTACACTAAAAAAATTTAGATTTTGTTTTTAAGAACTCATTCCACTCACTCATACGTCAATTTGTGATGTTAAAATTGATATAATTCATATACATAAAGTCCAGACTTGTGTACGGAAGAGGATTAGGGCCAAGCAATAAAAAATACAAAATAAAACCATCTCGAGATTAAAATCGTTAAATTTAGAGAAAAAAAATCGTTAAATTTCCAGAAAAATGTCAAAATAAAATGTTGAGATTAAACTCGTTAAATTTCGAGAATAAAGTAATTATGTTTGAGAAAAAACTCGTTAAAGTTCGAGAAAAAAGGTAAAAATAAAATGTTGAGAATAAACTCATTAAAGTACGAGAAAAAAAGTCATTAAATTACGAGAAAAAAAGTCGTTACATTTCTAGAAAAAAAGTTGTTAAATTTCTAGAAAAAAGTCGTTAAATTTCTAGAAAAAAAGTCGTAAAATTTCTAGAAAAAAAGTCATAAAATTTTGAGAAAAAAAGTCGAAATAAAATGTTGAGAATAAACTCATTAAATTACGAGAAAAAAGTCGTTAAATTTCGAGAAAAAAGTCGAGATAAAACACACTCGTGTCAAGTTCATTTAATCTCGATGGACAGTGTCACATAGTGTCTGCAGTGGCGTAGGTTGGAGAGTAATGCACATGGATAAAGCATATGATGCAATTGACTAGGGTTCGAATCCGTCTTTAGCCAAATTTGCTTCCTTTTCTCATGACATATCACATAGGAAAAGTGGAAATCAATTGCCTAACAAGTGTTTAATAATAATGAATTATTTAGGGGTAGGGTGGGCTTTGTTGTCCCAATAAGGCAGCATCTATGTAATAATTTTAATAAATAAAATCATTTACACTCTTCTGTACGTCCAGAATATCTGTTCGGACAATGGGCCTCATTCATGAAACACGAGCAGAACAAATTTTTGTGTAAATCGTTCGTAAAGCTGTTCTGACGTAAATTTTCGGATTCATGAAAGTGTTCGTATTTTAAAAATGTTAGTTGGTACGAAAGAAATTGACACCTGCTCCCTACCATTTTTTTGTAGCTGGGAGTTGATAAAGTGTTTATCTTTGGGTAAAAGCAGCGCTGTCACTGTCACTTTTTACCCAACCGTCCAATCAATGGAAGAGGGGCGGGACAAATACTACACCGACCAATCATCCTACTTGTACAACAACTGAACAACAATAGAGAAGTTAACATTGCTGGTTACTGCATTTTTATATTCAGTAATATTCTTCAAAATTAGATACTAGTAATGCGTTACTGCCGTGGATATTCCAAATCATAGCAACTAAAGCGTATCAGCTGGAAAAACGGTGTGCCACCAAAGCGTCCTCCAGCGCCACTAGCTGGTCGTTTTCAGAAGAGCACCTGACATTTTTAAGCTGGCTAAAAACGCTTTGGTGGACACACGTTATTGAATATACGCAGCTCGAGTTCCTGAAAAGGAACGTCTCCAGGTTACGAATGTAACCATGGTTCCCCGAGGGAACGAGACGCTGCGTCTCAGTGACATACTTCCGGCATCCCTGTGAGCGCTTGCTTCATTCCTAGAAGCTGACGCTGGTTCCACCGCACGTGCTTTTATAGCTTCCTGGTCGCAACGTTACCCGCCCATGACGTCTCGCCCATCTATTCGACTGATTTCATATGTGATTCAGAGCATGGTCACGCTGGGGGCGTTCCCAAAGCGTTTCCGACGCAACGTCTCGTTCCCTCTGGGAACCATGCTTACATTCGTAACCTGAAGACCTGTTTTTAAGCTTCAATGTGAGTTACTGTTACCATTACCTTTCTCCACAAAAGCTGGCATGGCAGTTCTACTTCTGACACTGGAAATGTTCCTGTGCATATTGGACACTGGTCTTCAAGTGCCTACACATTAAAGACAAAAATGTATGCAGGGCAAATTTTGTAAAATAGGAATTGATAATTGACAATGTTCAATTTAGCTTTGCTTGTGTACCTCCTGAGGGTGATTGCAACATTGGATGATGTTGCATCAGGTCTAAGGTTTTGCCTTGAAGATGTTGCCTCCTCTATCAACACCAAATCTTCTTCCTGCAAACAGAAAAGAAAAATGTGATGTTCTACTGATAGAATTCTAGGCTGTAGGGAGTAGTCACAAATAAAAACACGTCTCAGAAGTCATATTGAAATTTGGAAGTTTTTGCTGTTTGTTCATGTTTAAAAGGTGTACAGCTATGGAGTTCATTTTGTGTCTCAAACATTCTGTGTTTGAGAGTAAAACTAATTATTTTGTAATTAAAAAATAAAAGATTGCAAAAAAAAAAAAGTCTTCTTAAGAGTCAAAAATAAAGAAATTGAAAACAAAATAATTTGCAGAGCGTGTAAATCTTTGAAAAATCGTATATTTTTCTTTGTGCACTTCAACCACTTTTCATCACATTTGGTGGGTTATGATTCATAAATTATGACCGTATGCACACTCAAGTCTATTCGCGGCACCCAACAGCTGTAGTTTGCCAAAAAAGATGAGTTTTCAAAAGATATTTGAAAGACCCCAGTGTGGAAGCTGTTCTAATATTTAACAGCAAACTGTTCCAAAGTCTCGGAGCCATCACTGAAAAATCAACCCATAATTTACATTTCGCCCTAGGGACAGTCAAAAGTTTCTGGTCAGCGGACCGAAGTGATCTGGATGGTGAGTATGGTTGTAATAAATCTGAAAGATATGGTGGTGCAAGGCAATTTAAAGATTTAAAAACAAACAACAAAATCTTAAAATCAATTCTATAACAGACTGGCAGCCAATGTAGAGAAGAAAGAATAGGGGTAATATGGTCCCGTTTCCGAGAGCCTGTCAGCAATCTTGCAGCAGCATTCTGGACAATTTGCAATTGAGACAAAGTGGACTGACTAATCCCCACATACAGGGAATTACAATAGTCCAGACATGAAGACACAAATACATGCATCACTCTCTTGAAATCATAAAACGACAAAAATGGCTTGACCTTTGTCAGTTTTCTTAATTGAAAAAAGCCTGATCTGACAACAGCATTGATCTGTTTGTCAAATTTTAATTACTCATCAAAAAGTACCCCTACATTTTTTACTATGGATTTGCCATGAATAGATAAAGGGCCTAAATCAAACTTAGGGGACCAAACACAATCTCTGTTTTAGATTCATTCATGTGCAAAAAATTCTCATCCAACCAAGTTTTCAGATCATTCAAACAAGCAAGAAGAGGCCCTAGTGAGCTACTTTTCTTCTTTACTGGCATATATATTTGTGTCATTAGCGTAACAGTGAAAATATATGTCGTGTTTTTTAAAAATAGACCCAATTGGAAGCATATATAATGAAAACAAAATGGGACCCAAAATGGATCCTTGGGGAATCCCACATGTAAGAGGAGCTGAAGATGATGTAAATTCAGCCAAGGCAACTGAAAAAGTACTATTTGTTAAATAGGACTTAAACCATTTTAAAACAGTACCTTGAATCCCTACCAATCGCTCAAGCCATGCAATAATAATTTTATGGTCTATGGTGTCAAATGCTGCACTAAGGTCAAGTAACACCAGAACTGCAGCATTACCAGAGTCCACAGTTAACAAAACATCATTAAGAACCTTTAAAAGTGCAGATTCTGTACTGTGATGCTCCCTAAACCCAGACTGAAATACTTCAGAGAGAGAATTTCTATTCAAGAAAGCCTGCATCTGACTGAGAGCTGCTTTCTCCAACACTTTTGAGAAAATAGGCAATTTTGAAATAGGTCTATAATTGCAATAAACTGTAGAGTCCAAATTAATGTTTTTAAGCGTGCAAACCGAATGCCCATCAAGTTTTCCCGGGTCTGTGCACGCAACAAGTGGGCGGGCATAAATATGCTAATGTTTCATGTTCAAGTCAACATGAAACGGCTAAAGATTCGTTTTAAAAACGACTCGTTTCAGTGACTCCGAGTTGACACTTTTTTGAGATAATAACTTTATACACGGTGCACCTTCAGATTTAAAACTTTGCAGGATATTTTCATTCACTTAGAGCTGTGTTACACACTGCATGAAAGGTAATTTTCAAAAATCCATAATAGGGGCACTTTAAAAGCGCATATTCTGTACTGTGATGCTACCTAAACCCAGACTGAAATACTTCAAAGAGAGAATTTACATTCAAGAAAGACTGCATCTGACTGAGAACTGCTTTGTCCAACACTTTGGAGAGAAAAGGCATTTTTGAAATAGGTCTATAATTGCAATACACTGTAGAGTCCAAATGAATGTTTTTAATTAGAGGCTGCACCACAGCATGTTTAAAAGAAGCCGGAACTACCCCTGATACAAGGCAATTATTTATAATAGATAAAACACTAGGCCCAACTATATCAAAAGCCTGTTTGATTAGTTTTGATGGAACATTATCAAGTAGGGAGTCTGATGGCTTTAACTGTTCTACTATTTTCGCCAATCCAGAGAGATGAAGAACCTCAAAATGATCAAACACCACGGGGCAATACAGATGAACAGATGGATTAATAACAGCAAGAGGAATTGGAGATCTAATATTTTCAATCTTTGAAATGAAAAATCTCTTAAAATTTTCACAATTTTCCACTGAAATATCAGGCCCAATCACATTAGGTGAATTAATAACAGAGTTAATAGTATTAAATAATACTCTAGGTCTATGACAGTTTCTCTCAATAATGTCAGAGAAATACTCTGCCTTCGCTGCTTTAACAGCACTTTGATATGTATGCAAGGACTCCCTTAACATTTTATATGACACCTGGAGCATGTCCTTCTGCCATTTACGCTCTACTTTTCTGCAGATTTGTCTAAGTGCTCGTGTATTATCATTAAACCAGGGTTCTGCCTTAGATTTTGCATGCCTCACCTTTAAGGGTGCAATAGCATCTATAATAGTTGTGCATACAGAATTAAAAGAACAAAACAGAGACTCTGGGTCCAAATAAGATGAAGGGTTTTCAAAGGCAGAAACATTATGATTGTTCACAAATGCCACAGAAAAATCGTTAATAATGCTAGAATTTATCATACGACACAGATGTGCACTAGAGTGCAATTTTGCATTCTGACATGGAAAAGATGCCCTAAAAAATGACTGGTTTATGGTCAGAGAAAGTTGCATCGCAAACATCTACATAACACAAAGAAATGCCATGAGATAAAATTAAATCCAATGTACAGTATGTCCTTGTTCACGTGTAGGACCCTTTACAGACTGCACAAGATTAAAAGATTCAATAAGATTCAAAGTCTTTCACTAGGGGGTCTGCTGGACAGCAGACATGAATATTAAAATCCCCCACAATTAAAAACGCATCAAATTTCAATGAAACCCCTAAGCATTCAAACAATTCCTGAATAAAATCTTTATTAAATTTGGGTGGCCGATATACCACCCCACACAGAACAGGCTCTGCTAACTCTAGTTGAAAGGCTTGCAGTTTAAAACTATGGAAAAGTTCGGTCTCCACACAACGGCAATGAAAACTGTTTTTAAAAACCGATGCTAGACCTCCACCCATGCCTGTAGATCGAGGGCAATTAAAAAAATTGACAGTCCGAGGGAACGAGGTCAGCAAAAGGGCTTACATCACCGGTAGATATCCATGTCTCAAGTCACAAATAAAATATTTGTGTAAGTAAAGAAATCCCTCAGGATAAACGTTTTATTGCAGAGCGATCTCATATTAACCAGTGCCATTTCGATTAATATAGTCACCTACTGACTGTGATGCACGACACAGTGGTCGAAGATTTTGGAGATTTACACCCCCACCTTTACGGAGATATGGCATCCGATGTATGGGATGTTCTACGAGGATTTCCGGAGCGATCGGCCGAATCAATGCATATGCTGGCTCCAGAGAGCACCATTTCCAGGAAACATGTCGTTCAAACCGGAAACCATAGCAAAACGGGGCACACCGGTTTGAGCTTGAACTTGCCCTTGTCACACCGATGAAGGCAGCAAGCCGAAACTTTGTTATGTAAGGGATAATGTACATCCAGCCGGTTGTTATCTCAGAATAAACCCCGACAGGGTGATCAGGACCCTGATGCGAAGACCCCGAAGCATATGAAATGTCATATTCTGTGACAACTTATTTACATTACATTACAATACATTTACATTTCTTTTTTAAGTTGTGTACATTTTGGGACTTTTTTTTTTTTAGAAAACAAAAAGGTTCTATCTACAAAGTCGAACTCTAACTTGGTTCTATAAGGTTCTATCTGCGTGAGCCAATCAGCACTTCGAATGCACACACGAGGACCAATCAGGATCAGCTTTCTTTGTCATGTCGCCGGACTGCGCCGCGATAGCGGAAGAGAGCGCAGAAAAATGCTAAATCAGTGAAGAGAAGACTAAATAATTTCACACAACGCGATGTTTATTAGAAACCTCATGATCGACTATTTTATTTATGATCTTGTCAATGACAGCAGCCCAAATTCCAGGGAATTACAGTCTTTTTGTGTGTTTTGCTGTAGCCATTGCTAAGTTATTTTCCGTTAGACACCACGCTAGCCAGCAGCGCTATTAATAGGATAGGTCCGGGTTTTGTAGTCTATTTGCTTTATTCCAGTCACATCATTGTCATACGAGGGAAAGTTATGTATATATTAGGTTATGTTTTAACCTTGATCCATCCTGTGTACTTATACTGAGCTGTATGTACTATGTAGCTATAAAGCTCTACACTATGGCACACTGGATTAAAGTGTATACTACATTAAGTGAGATGAAATGTTAAATTTTACATTGTTGGTAAAAACTGTTGTTGCATAGTTTAAGTAAGTTAAATATTTTAAATGTGAAATATTTGTAATTATTTATAGTCAGTGAAAAATTTTTCAATATTTATTAAACTTTGTTAAACACCTTTGCTGAAGCATTGTCTGTTTTCTTGCAGTTTTTTTAAGTCTTAAAATGTCTTAAATTTTACAATATTAAGCCTTAAAAGTAAAAAAGTCAACAATTTAATTGATTGGCTCTTAATTACAACAATAAACATCAGCATGTTATTTCAGCCATACTGATGTCTAGAGAGAAAGCCATTTTACCTGTCCCACTTT